TCTGACCTCTCGAGTAACCATAGCAATGTGACACCTGAGCACTGACTCAGTTGCAGCAATAGATGAGAACAGTCGATAGGTCAAAGGTTGTGTTTTTATTACACAGATGTTATTGATATTAATCTGTCTTCTTCTTCTACTCTTGTTCTTTTCTTTGTTGAAGCTTAAATGGAAGCCTTTGTTGCTGTTGAATGCATGTTGAAGTCAGATTTTATGGTCGTCTTTATTTTCTTGTGTAAAATAGATTGAAAAGAATCAGAATATTTTTGGAGTTTTATCAACAAGTGCTGTGCGACCTGACTGACTGCCCACCCATATGAAAGAGCCATGTGGATCAGTGTTATTTCTCATTAGTTTGTTTCCATCAGTTTATATTACTATTATATTCAGTTTGTTCCCGAAACATGAGTTCACATCACTGCTCACTGCTGTGTCCCCATGTTTCAGAAATAATGCAGAGACATGTCTGAGATGGTATGAGCGCCTTTTTTGACTTGTATATTAGAGATGCTTTGGATCAGGTTTGAGATTCTTGTCTGCAGAAGCTTCATGGATGGAACTCTGAAGGTAACCAAATGATGGTCCGTGCTGCCAATTGTGTTTGTGTTTGCAAGGCCAGTTTAAGGAAACTTTGTTTGAATTTGTCGGGGTTGCACGTTGTTATGTCATCAGACACAGGGTTAACATTCCTCACAGCTTCACTTGGTTAAAGTTTAAACAAAGGCCGAGATCTCAACCACATCTCAGGCTCAGTGCTGTGATACAGGGCTCATCTGTGATGTCGTCATTCTTACTGAGCAGCTTTTCTGTATGCCAAGTCACCTGTGGCTCACCTGAACCAGTCGTCTCTTTGATGGCTAAGAAACACCTGAAGTTCTGAGGATATTTTATTGGTCACATGGTCAGAGCTGAACAAACAGAAAGCTCCCTTCAGTATTAACACATCTGTTAATATAGTACAATTATATTTAAGGCAAGTGGTAAATCCACCCGAGTCCTCCAGGGTAACATGATGGCGCTCCACGTGTAGAGAGGACAAAGACGGGGTCAAAGGGCAGATGAAATGTTGATGTATTCTGAGTGTAAAATTTTGATTCAATAAAATGTTTTTAAAGAGCAGCATGTGAATGAATGACTGGTTGATTTAAATCAAACTGTGAGGATGTCATAAGGTTGGTAATACTGCGTTGTCTCTACAAAGTGAAATGAATGTGTGAGTAAGCTAAATCACCACGTTAACTGATGCTGAACAGATCACCTGGTCAGGAGCAGGTAAAGTTCAGAGTTTCAGTTTAACCTCAACTATGTTTATTTCCAGCATGTTTTCAGCCTGATAGATTATCTGTTAGGAAACCATGTTTTATAGTAAGCGCTACTTTTCTAACAACAGTCAGTGAAGCTCAGCTGTAAAGTTAGCTCAGACCTTTTACCCCCTGCAGCTACTAGAATAGAACACACACAAAAAATATCTTTTCAGTCAGTCAAAATTAATTTGATTTCCATGTTTGCTATATCTGGCTGTGGAACAGGAAGCTTAAATGTATCAGTCCAGATCCAGTTTAAAGCATAGCCTTTGTCTTTCACATTTGCACATTCTTTGACATACACAGCAGCACTGTGAGGAAATGCTGTACAGTGCAGCGAAGAATGCCCAGACCTCTACATTGGAGAGACCAAACAGCCACTTCACAAGCGCATGGCACAACACAGAAGAGCCACCTCCACAGGACAAGACTCAGCAGTCCATCTGCATCTTAAGGATAAAGGACACTCTTTCGAGGATGCCAATGTTCACATTTTGGACAGAGAGGGCAGATGGTTTGAAAGAGGAGTGAAAGAAGCCATCTATGTCCACTGTGAGCGACCATCTTTGAACAGAGGCGGGGGGTTACACCAACTCTCTGCCATCTATAATCCAGTTTTGAGATCCCTTCCCAGACGCCTTAACGCCCACTCACATCCTGGGCCATCTGATCTCAGGAATTCGCATGATAAGGTGGGGCCAGGTTTCACAATGAACACACCCGAAACTCTGGCTGATTGGGACCCACACCCAGTTTCACACCTTGGCTCAGGTGATTAGAGGATCATCAGGGGGTCCTTTTGTCCCTCTGTGGGGGGAAACTCCCACTAGGTTTATATCTGGGACTCTCCACCATTTGACCTTAGAACTGAAGAAGCTTCTCGGATAAGAGTTGAAACGTCTTCAAGTAACTTAAAGAAGTCCAGACACTTTTCTTTGCAAGCTCCTTTGACGTGAGAAAATGATGTAAATAGATTTGGTGAACATTTACTTCATCAAGAGGGAGGAAGGTACTCACAGATGGACTGTATTGTATGCAGAGACTGCAATCTAAAAGGTGGTGAGAGGTGGTGTTAGAGGAGAATGTAGTTAGACATATGATGGTAATGTGTAGGATGCCCACTTTGAGCAGTTTGGATACAGAGAGGTGAGGTAAGATTGGGCACGTGCAGAGGAGGAAGAATGGATACACTGGACAAAGGAGGATGAAGATGGAGCTGCTAGACACAAGGAGAATAGAAAGACCTCAGAGGAGGTTCATGGATGTAGAGAGGGAGGACTGTTGTGACAGAGGAGAATGCTGGGATAGGAGGACATGGAGGCAGATAATCTGCTGTTAAGACCCCTGGAGCAACTGAAATAAGAAGAATACAGCAAATTCATAGTTAAAATTTAAATAATCAAAGGTTCATTTTACTGTTCTCTGGGATAAATTCTAAGGTTAATAAGTTTCAGTAGCATAGAGAGTAGTGTTGGCAAAAGTGCAGACATGGTTTAAAAATAATATTCTGGTAAAAGTTAAAGAAATGATTCAATGTCTTTACTCAAGTAAAAGTAAAAAAGAAATTCTGCAACGCTAACTGAACCTTGTGCTATAATAATACAATAAAATCATATTAGTTAGATGGAAATGCAAACTTAATTTCAGTCTAAATTCTAATAAAAACAATTCGAATAAATGTACTCAGGTTGAATCAATTATGTAAGTAAGTAAGTAAAATTTTATTTATATAGCACGTTTCTAGATAAAAGATCACAAAGTGCTTCACAAGGTATAAAACAAAAACAGTCAAAAGTTAACAAAACGCAATTCTAAAAAGATGTGTTTTTAGTTGTTTTTTTAAAAGTGATCACTGAGTCCGCAGATCTTAAGTTCTGAGGAAGAGCGTTCCACAGTCTGGCGGCCACAGTGGCAAAAGCTCTATCTCCCTTGGTTTTCAGCCTTATATGCTGAATAACAAGCAGGCCCTGATCACAAGACCTCAGGGACCTACTAGGGACATAGGGCTGTAAAAGGTCAATGATGTAGGCTGGTGGTTGTCCTTGAAGAGCTTTAAATGTCAGAACCAGTATCTTAAAATGGACTCTGAATTCAGCGGGGAGCCAGTGCAGCTGTATAAGCAATGGTGTTACATGAGAGTACTTAGATGTTTTTGTCAGAATCCTTGCTGCAGCATTTTTGACAATCTGCAGACGCTCCAGGGAGTTTTTGTTTACACATGTAAACAGTGAATTACAGTAGTCCAATTACGCTGAAATGAATGCACGAATAACAGTCTCCAGTTCAGAATGAGATACCATAGGGCTCAATTTAGAAATGTTTCTTAAATGATAGAAGCAGGATGTAGAACATGAGCAGAGAAAATTAAGGAGAATTTACAATCGCCTACATTGTAGAGGGTGACTTTGCCTCCAAACCTAAACAGGAAGATGAGTAAAGCAAATGGTTACAGTGGGATGAAGAACGTCTGGTGTTGTGGTGTTGTTCACGGGTCTAAAATCCTGTACCATTCATCTACCCTTACCTGGGCCCATAAAGACGGGAAGTATTGGCATATTCCATGATGACTGATATGGGATGATCACGCTGGCCTCCAGTAATCTGTTTATAGTGTCGTACTGGGGTCACCAGACCAGACCTTCACCAGGGTTCAGGGTGATGTGGACCCGGGCTGTGTCAACTAGACGGACATCATGTGGCGTGGTGGTCCAGATAGCAGAAGAAATGGAGTCTAAGAAACGTGGGGTTGTTCTTATTTTCTTCAATCAGTGATGAATAATAAGATTTATTCAGAGCTCACAAAATCCAGGACGACAGTTTAGTGACCAGTTTGGGCAAAAGACAAATTCTCAGTTTTGATGTTCAACAAACACATTTATTACAGAATTTTTAAACCATGTTTTACAATGAACATGTCACTTCCTTTTTGTCATCAGATCAAATCTGAATCAGCACACTGTTGAGACTAATTTTCTTTACTTTCCCTCCATGATTCTCTAAGACAAAATAAATGTCTATAAACCGACATTTTTAAATATTAAAAAAACAAACAAACAAAAAAAACACCTGCTGCCATTCACTGGAGGGGCCTACAGCTAGTGGGAGGGGTCAGATTTCATTGGCCGTGCTGATTGGTCGGTACACTGGAAACGGTAACGCAGGAAGCGAACTCGCGGTTTGATGTGGAAGTCAGCAGGTATCCTCCAGTTCCACATTTTCTGTACCTGAACGAGAAACTAAGATTCAGTGAAAAGCTTCACATGAGAACAATAAAAATAAAAACATTCCGAACAGACATATTAATTAACACACGTTTTCAACATGCTCCAGCATGTGTTTGCAAAGCTTCTCTGTTGCATGCTACAATAGACGGTTTAAATAATGGATCATATTTTGGATCATTTTTATACCCTCTGGTATGAGTTAAAACACATAATGAATTTATGTGGGGATTTTTACTATCTGGATCTGGAGGGACAGATCTAACACATCCAGTACTGATGCTGCAGGGTTTTCATGACCCTGACATAAGGTTCTTTTAAATAAAAATCAGTTTCAGGGTTTGATGAACATTGAATACAAAGAAAGTGTAAACTAAACAGGAAACATCAGACTGCTCAGGACATCTTCAGTGATAGAGAAAATGTATTAAATGAAATATTGTAAAGATTCGAGTCAAGATTGTGATGATAACAAACCTTCAGGACCCTGACCAGATGGGTTGTACTGTTCAGTAACTGAACCTGCAGAGAACAAGCAGAACCAAGAAAAGAGAAAGAACAAGCCTTCAGCACCTGATCTCATATCAGATACAAACAGCAAAATATCCTTTAACCAAAAAATGGGACCCCAAACCGCATCCAGCACACCTTTGAACCTTCTGGGGCACAGATGCAAAGGAGAAAGTACACTTGGAGGGAATAATTCTCTTCATCCAATCTGCAATTTATTTAATTATTTATTTATTTACAAAAATACTGATATTAACAACCAAAGAAGAAACTTATCTTAGCATTAACCCAGGCTTGAAAAGCTTAAGCCCCTCCCCCTGAAGAAACTATGCAATCATTAGTCAGTGGCCTGATATATTAGATGTTTTTACCCTGAGGATGACAAAGATTTCTTACTTATTAACCTCTGATGCTTTTATACAAAAATCACAAATACAGAAGTTCACAACAATCCCCCCAATGTGTGTGTTTTTAACTACTTGGTAAGATTACAATTCCCCACTAGTACATAGAAGACATGGAATACATGGAATTTTCCAATATGGTGGCAATGTGGAAAAGAGCATATGCAGTCTTAGTCCTCTAGAGGGCATAGGTTTCCACGTGACATACAGGCTCTGTCCGTATTTCAGGTATGTGTTCTAAACCTTTTAAAGCTGTGAACATTTTTAAGACTTACCAGCCATCTGTGTGTGATCTGTCACAGCTGGAGGACCTGCAAAAGAAAAAAACGACACACACATTGT